CCAAGGCCGAATCGAGAATACCTCAAAAAAGTTTCAAATTTAGCCGCGCTATGCTTTGGAATCGGCTCACAAACGAAGCAAAATCAGCTGAGTCGCTCGTTTGTTTAAATCAATTGTTGTTGGACACTGAAATGAGTCCTACTTACCTGTGTGTGAAACTGTCTGAGTGTAATTGTTATACTGTATTCTTATTACTGTCTTAATATTTAAACACGTCCCTCATGGAAACCAGCCTAGAATTGATGGGGCTAGCATGTTTCTTGGTTTTAAATAAAGTTTACCTACCTACCTACCTATCCACCTACCCTGTCCCCGTTTTCATTCGTGCTGATGATTTTTTAACTCGTGTTCACTCGTGTTCATATTTCTTGACACGTGTTCTGACTCGTGTTCACAGGTGTTCATTCGTGTTCACTCGTGTTCTGACTCGTGTGGTGTTTTAGAACAGATCATGGCAAGAATCGAACCTACGCTTTTGCGATGCCGGTGCAATGCTCTTGCCACTGAGAACGTATGGTTGACTCATTTTTCCATCCACTGTTCCTGGCTAGAATTTGAAGTGTGTATAATAGCACTCGAAATTAAGACCCTTTAAACCTTTTGTTCCTTGATGATACAATCGCGTTCTTCCAAAAGCTCCTTTTTAACCGTGTACTTAAGCGTAGACGGCTTGCTAAAAGAGACAATAAAACCTGACACGAGTGGGTCATTTTGGTATGAGTTTCTTTTTCCAACGAGATAGCTGGTTCAGGATACTTAGAACTATCATCGTCGTCCTCATCATCATCTCTGCCTTTCTTTTCCTTCACATCTTCACATCGTTTAAAAGCCTTTTGATAAGAAACTTTTTCTTATCAACGGCAGCTTCTATTGCTTCTTCTTGGTCAAAATCATCATTTGTAATAAACGCATCTTATGTGTGCATTATTTCCTTATGTACCGGATCTTTCTTTTGTTGTCTCATCAAAAAAAGGCGCTCTAAATAGATATTTTCTAATTCTTTCTGGACTCTAGGCATGGCATTAAAGTAAGCTTTCTTTTTAGCAGAGTGCTCAACGAAACCACGGTTTTAAGGCTTTCTTTCATTTCCTTGAATGCTGTGTTACTTCTATGTTATGCTTCTTCTAGTAACGGTATCCAGGGATCCATTTCTTCTTCACATTCTGAGTCCGTTGTCGTCGAACTTCCAGATTGCTGAGTCGAAGTGGTCGAGACATCATCTTGGAAATCACTTTCTTGACTGTCCAAGTCTGTTTGAGCCATGTTTCTTCCTTGTTCTCGTAGTAGGCAATACTCCCGTTCTTGTCTGCGCTGATTGTAACTGCGGCTGAAATATTTTCCACAAAATTGGCAGCTCATCCCCTTAGCACTAGAAGTTTGTAAATGCCTTGTTATCGAGCAGCAACGCAGTTTTATGACCAGATGTCTGCTCATGTGTAGTTATAAGCATGTGTTCATCTGCTCAACGGTACTTTTTCTTACTCCAGTACATGCACACAAACTAAAATGTTAGCCATCCCTTATGTACTTTCTTCGTTTCCCCCGAGATAGAGGTTCTTGGTTTCAGTGCTTAAATAAACATTAAAGTTTCTCTCCATCTCTTCTTGGCGCTCGAATAAATTTTCCAGACGCTCCTCCATATTGAATTCCTTTGGTTCTTTACTCGATCGAGGTACACATATTCCTTTCTTACTCCACTTTAACCATCTCTTGCGTTCCTCTGTGCCCATGCCGTGTACTTGGTCGACGATTGCTAACCTTCCTAAATTTGTATACTACCACAGGTAAGCACAAGACAGTTTCTACGCGTGCGACCCATATTTAGACGTTTGCTCAACAAATTCCTAATATTAATTGCTCGTTTTTTCGTGGGTCAGGTATTTTATTAGCCTTTTGGGCCCTATATGGCCTTATATGGCACTTAGGCCCGATGGCCCGATTGCTGCATGACTACGCGTCTAAATCCGGAAAAGTCCGGGCTTGTCAACGCAAACTCTTGCTTACGGAAGACAAAGTCAAACCATCTAGACAAGAAAACAGTGTATTGCCCGGACAATATGTTTAAAATATTTGTAAAATTGTTCTACTTAATTACATTGTTACAAGCGTTAATCCTTGTCTTAGTTTATGCTCCAAGCATCGCGTTGTCCATAACAACAACATATATTTCGCTCTAAAAATGCACACATTTTCGCATTCGCCAAATCCCTTATATATATATATATACATATACATATACATATAAAAAAAGACACGTAATTGATCTCATGTGTTCAATATTTTAATAATATAATAACGATATTTGTGACCTTCCACGGGAAAACATACGTTAACGCTATTTCGTTCGTTCGAAAATATCGTTCGTTATCCGTTCGTTTGCCGTTCAAACGCTTGAAGCGTTCGTTGAAATGATTTTCGAGATCGTTCATCGTTCGAAATTGCCCGTTCGAACGCTTAGGAAAAAACGTTTGAAAATTGGTCCAAAAGCATTCAACCGTTTGATATACCGTTCGTTGAAACGTTTGCCGGAATTTCGTTCAATCGCATTGGATTTGGTTCAACATATTAGATTAAACATTAAAGCGGCAAAATGAGCAAATTTGAAATGGCGCCTATCAACTGTTTATGCGTGCATGAGCGCGGGGGTAAAGATCTTTACCAATAATTTCGCGAAGACTGTCCCAAATATTTGCTGGATATTAGCATATATGAAGAAGTCAAGGCGTTTTAACGCGTGCATATATAAAGGTTAATACCAGGTATGAACACTAAATGAAACAGCTATGATATAAGGAAAGTCATGACTGGGCCACTTTATTAGGCGCGCTTGCAATTATTTTCCTGCAAGCATTGAAATCAGGCTTATCCATGAAATCATCAACTGAATTCGTAAAACGGTTGTCTCGATTTAAACTGAAGTTTTTTTTCCCTTGAGTGTATTTGCTTCGCTAAACTGTAGCTCCTTTTTGACCATGCATATATCGAAATATGACACGCATTCGAAGTAAGATTTCATATAGATGATCATGCAATTGTATATAACAAGACGTTCTCAATTGCATTTTATGTATATGTTAACGTGAGTAAAATGTATTCGAATATAAATGCGCACTGCAATATAACCTTTTAGATTGTTTATCATGGCCGGTGGAATCAAGTTGGGCCACGATCATCCAATCATTCCGAATAAACATGACATGAAAGGTTGCCAGACCTTGAAAATGGCTTGGCTGAGGTTGGAATTTAAGTTGTTAGCTTGGGCCGTGGTGGTTACAATTTATAGGATGCATTTACTTACATTGAAACAACAATTGTTTACAAATTTTGCTGACATTTTTCATAAAAAAGGGTAGATGCTACCTCGAAATATATATAATTATATGATATAAAAAAATTTCGCAAGACAAAATGGATTAATGCTTTCATGCATGTCTTAAATAATCTTGATTAGTTAATTTTACTATAATATGTATTATATATTTAATATCAAAAGTATTAATTAGCGATATACTGATTCAGTCAGTATACACATGCATATGTGATCGTATGGTCACAAAACATATCACTTATATGAAAAAATATGGCGGCAGAAATAGGGACATTGCAGCTTTAGCTTTGCGAAGAAAATATGGCGATGGTGCATGCAGTCGATAAAATAGATTATTATCAAATTTTAAAATATTCTTAATGATGCCCTTAGTTGCTACTGACACTACTGTGTATAGGCGACATTCCGCGACAAGCTTGACCGCAGCTAGAGGCTATTGCCGCACGGAACATATTGTGTGCACTAGGTAAATAAGCCAATAGCTTATATTTTAAATATTTTATTACCGCGCAATGCATATCTGAAATTTAAATGTGGATTTTCACGTGCATAAATGGTTTGGATATTTAATGTAGTAGGTTATTTATACCAAATAAGTTTTGACAGCATTCAAGCACACGTTACTACGCTGGTTCGCATACAAACGAACTTTGCGTATGCGATTTTCTGTATAACTGTTATTAAAGCCCGGCGCACACTGGAGGAAACAGCTGAGCTGAGCGTCACTCGTGGCTGTTAGCTGAGCTGTTTCCTCAGGTGTGCGGTGTCGTGTTCTGCGATTTTCGCCACGCGTGCCATGAGCGCAGAATATTCAACATGTTGAATAATTTTGTGCACGAGTGAACATTTCCTCACAGTGTGCGTGCGTTCTGAGCTATCAGCTCAGCAATCAATGCCAACGCGCATGCGTCTTTTCCATGTTTTACTGAAGTCAAGATGGCGGCAAACAACTCACCAGTTGCTGAAGCAGTGTTGGAAGATAAATTGGCCGATTTTTGGCCCGATTACCCTTGTCTGTACGACGTTCGAAGTCCAGACTTTAAGAACCGGGAGATACGCGATAAGGCGCTTCAAGAACTGGCCGAAAAACTCGGAACAACATGTAAGATAATTCAGATTTTATTAGTGTTATTGTAGAAATAACTCAAATAAGAATACTGCATGAGGGAATTCGTACACTTCTGCCTTCTAGCAAGGATTCCTCTCAGTGCAGCAGGTTTTATATGATTCCTTGACGGTTTAGTAGTAATATTGCCTAGAATTTGACATTTTTTATTGTTTATCAAAAATTTTAAGTTATCTGTGATTGAATAAACAAATTCAATTATTATTTATAGGTGAGTGGGTTAAAGCTAAAATCAGAGCTCTGAGCGAGAAACAGCTTTAGCAAAGCAAAAAAAACCCCAGCTAGTGGAAGTGCAAGAAAAAATGTGACCAAGCGCACTCAATGGCTGCTTGAGAAACTCCAGTTTCTCACACCTCTTGTGGCAACTTGGGCTTCAATTTCAAATATTGATTTGGTAAGCACATACATTGAAGAACTTAAGGCATGGAAACAGTTTGTATATATATATTTATGTACAAAGAGAAAGAAAGTGTATAATAACAGTGCAGTTGATAATAGGGTAGTGATAACTCTTACAATATATACATGTTTGCGTAAGCAATATGGCTAAGCAATCATACTGCTTTGCCAAGGGACAGATCCATGATTATTAAAATAATCAGTCAAAAGTACCCTTTGAGTTTTGGCATCCTTTGTTGCATTGTGCAGGGTGGTTGGTTGCATATTAGTCAAAACCTGGTCGTTTCTCCAGGTACCTCTGACCAATGTATGATCTGCATTCTCAAGGTCTGCAGCTGATGCATAACTTGCTTTGTTCTTTTCAACCATTAAATTGTGCAAGCAGCAAGCTGCAAAAATTATGTCTTTAACTTTGTCGGGTGATAGTTTAATGGTAGTTAGGAATACCCTCCACCTATGAGCTAAAATGCCAAAGGCATTTTCGACAACTCTTCGTGCTATTGACAATCTGTAATTGAAGATACGCTTCTCTTTCTCCAAATTCCGATAAGGGTATGGCTTCATTATACGATTACTTACAGGAAAGGCATCATCCCCAACAATATGATGTGGTATCATTTTTGATATCCCTTGTAAGGCAACTGCATCTGGAAGATCTAAAGAGTTTGTTCTCAGTGCTTTATTCAATGCAGAATCAGCAAAAACTCCAGCATCACCTGCTCTGCCAGCTGTTCCAACATCAATATAAATAAACTTGTAGTTTGCATCAACCATGGCAAATAAAATTACACTAAAAAGGTGCTTATAGTTAAAGAACTCAGAGCCTGTATCAGCTGGTTGTTGAATAGCAATGTGCTTCCCATCAATAGCTCCCAAACAGCATGGATAATTCCACTTCATGTTAAATTCTGATGCAATTTGTAGCCAATCTTCTTTATTACTTGGAGTCAAGAAAATAAAATATTAGTTTAATTTTTAGGATTCCCGTGCTAGTTGTAGTACTCCATTTTCGGAAATAAGCTTCAAAGAAAATGATGAGGGTGAAGATGATGATTCTCCTGATCAATTATTTCCAAGTAGCCCAACAAATCCAACAGAGGAAAGTGGTGATCAGAGCATTGGAAGATCAACAAGTGAACCACTGAAAAAACGAGCAATGTCCAGAAAGAAACAGGCTGAGGAGGAGTATCACCTGATCAAGAATTTGTCTCAGTCTATTGCAAACAAGCAAAAAAAAAGGGAACGACACCATTTATGATGCTTTTGGGAATTATGTTGCCAAAGCTTTGTCTGAATTGGATAAAGTGGCAAGCAATTTGGCACAAAACAAAATAAATAATATTATTTTTCAAGCTCAGGCTGGATTACTGACCCAGGAAGTACAGACACCAACAGTCATACAACCCCAACCCCAGAGAAATTATTTCCACCCAATCATGCCTGGTACCCCACAAAGCGAACAACCTCCAATTTATGGGCAAAATAGTATGCCCTACAGAGAGGATCACTACTGAAAAGGACAATACATTATATAATTTATATTAATATACTTTTTACTGATACTTGTTATTAATATTTTATAGCTACACAGTTTACAAAATAAAATTTTATACCTTTAAATACTTGTCTTTCATAACTTCATGCAAGGCTTGACATGTTTCTTCTACTATGCATGATATTGTTCTCTCACCAATTAGATATTGGAAAGAAAGACTTCTGAATGTCTCTCCTGAAAATGATAAGTTTTAAAAAAGAGGCATTCATTAGTAAACTCCGTGTCTGTATAGTAATCATTATTGACAATAATACAACAAAACTGGGAAACAAACTATAGACAAACCTGTAGCTAAAAAACGTAATGTCACGGACAATCGTTCAATGGGTTTTATCGAGCAGCGAAGGTGAGTGTCTTTCTTTTCGACCAAAGGGTATATTAAGGTCAAAATTTCCTGAAATGAAGTTCTGTCTAGGCGATGATATTGTCTGAATTTCTCTGGATCTTCGTAATTCAATTCACGAACAATATTCGCACATGCCCCATGGGTTTGGCGGCGTGAAACCCAGGATTTAACCCAAGTCTTTCGGTTAGCTGCTCTCAAACGCCTTCGCTCCGCCGCAGTATCAGAAGGGAAAGCAAAACCTCTTCATCTCCCGACGAGCTCGAGTCTAGATTTTCATCGACATCGGCCATCTTGACTTCAGTAAAACATGGAAAAGACGCATGCGCGTTGGTATTGGTTGATGAGCTGATAGCTCAGAACGCGCGCACACTGTGAGGAAATGTTCACTCGTGCACAAAATTATTCAACATGTTGAATATTCTGCGCTCATGGCACGCGTAGCGAAAATCGCGGAACACGACACCGCACACCTGAGGAAACAGCTCAGCTAACAGCCACGAGTGACGTTCAGCTCAGCTGTTTCCTCCAGTGTGCGCCGGGCTTAATGTCTGGTTATCATCTGTAAACAACTTGACCTTGCGCTAATTAATTTAGTCGTTTGCGCGTCAAAGAGTATAAGCAATAGTGAACAATGGAATCTCTTGTGTTTAGCTTAACATAAAATATGTATCCCGTAGCTGAAACTCAACTAAACTGAGACGGTGACCAATGACATTGCCTATGATATTATTATCGAAGCCAGGCCATTTATTGCAATCTTCGTTTACTCTCGGTTTAGAGCCGTGTTAATAAAACGGATGCATGCATGTGTTTATATGTCCTTAACCACCCATACATTTAGTTTGTCCGTGGAGAGATTTAAACATCTGTAACGTTGTTGCAAATAAACACGCGCTGAATATTTTGATGTGTATAGTTGCAGATGATGCATTGATTAATTTGACATAACGATGATAATTTGTACTGATAACTGAAGGCTTTCTAACGAAATATAATATATTATATATATAATAATAATATATATATATATATATTAATATATATATATATATATATATAATATATATATATATATTATATATATATATATATATATATATGTATATAAAGTATAAAACAATGTGATTTAGGTAGTTAAGCTAATAAATTTAGTTAAACATTCAAATGAAGGTATAGCTATTTATATGTACACGCATACTTGCGCCAACACATGTTACGTGTTTGAAAATATTTCCTATTAGTCAATAATATCTTGCGTCAATCATACGCGCAACAGGCGTTCAGACTAATTCGTTAAAGCCGTTCATAAACATAAATCGTTCAAACGGCTTCAGATTGAACGTTTATTTATCCGTTCGTATTCTCGACTTTAAACGTTCACATTTTTAGCTGAATTCGTCAAAACGTTTTTTGGGTTCGTTGAAACGTTATGACAGATCGTTCACTACCCGTTCGTTATCCGTTCGTTTTGCTGTTTCAACGAAATATCGTTAACGTACGTTTTCCCGTGGAAGGTCACATTTATGCTGCATTGTTTGTGGATTCGGTATTATTAAGGTGGTTTTTCACTATATTGGTGGAGGGGGAAATCTTCGATGGAACGGAATATTTCGCTCAATTCTCTTTTCAATTGTGAATAAAAACCAAAGCAGATTAACTCGACATATCACAATTGAAAAGAAAATCAAGCGAAAAATTTCAACTTCAAAATGGAGTTATGTTAAGAAGTCGAGAGCTATTCGCAAATCGTCTGACTATTTAGCAGGTCAAGGTCTCGTTGAAGAACAATTGAAGCAACAAGACAGATCCATCCTCTTCGATGTCTACACAAAGTAAATTATCTTAAGGCATTGATTTATTAGTAGAAATTAGTGCATTAGAATATTAGAGTATTAGAAACAGTATAAATCAGTATGTGTCAAGTATAAAGGAACAAAACAGGATGCATAAATTTGTGCCCCATACAAACCACGTGTTCTTCCTTATTTGTTTTCATACTAACCTTCCTGACAAATCCCCTTGGGTCAAAACGTCAAGAAGTTTTTATTCTATTTAGGCAGTTGTTGTACCACATTTAATGTATAAATATGTGTTTAATCCAAAAAGTTTCATTACCTGACTTTTTTCAAGGATCATCAGTGATAGCTTCAACCATTTCATTCTTACTTTTTTTCACCCCGGAAATAACCTTTTTCTTTTGAACTAGGTTGAGCAACTTTGCCTAGATTTCAGTTTCGAACATTTTGACCATTTTTTTTTGTTCCAGTCATCCCCATTATCCTGTGAAACTCTGCTTTCAGCTGAAGTAAAAACAAGAATATCTACATCATATATTTCAACTACTTGCAACAAAAATCGGAGCTTAAATGCTACATATGAAGGTAACAAGCGGTGAATAACATAGTTCGTTATAGGGTTTTTAGACTAGGCAAAAACACTCCAATGGAATTTTTACCTTTGCGTATAAGCATCACCAACCATGCTACCACAATGATGCTAAAGACGGGCGTCGTGCAAACAATTTCTGTGTGGCAAAGATCCGAAATTTAAAATGAGAAAACTGAAAATAGCTATTAGTAGTTTACCTCGGACACAAGTGTCAGTGCCGGATACTCTTCCAAGACGTTCTCAAGAGTTTTAGGCGTACGAAGGATTTCGTGCCTCCTGGAAGGGAAAGTGACCTCCATTAATTCCTTACTCAGGTTTACGTTTTTGTTTCGACTTTTGGCCATCTCCTTCTTTGTCGCTACCACATGTTCCCTGCAGGTTTCTGCCGTCTCGCCTTCAGTTGCTTCCGACAACACCGACAGTTTAGACGACCCGGCCGTTCGTTTGGAGTCACTTTCCTATTTGAATTAAGTGAGCAAGTGTGAATGTGAGTGATGCTAAAACCGAAGTATAGTGAAATTTCACTTAGGATAAAAAAGAAGGAAAACAAGATAACGGTTCGAACAAGAGCTCACGGAACATGGCGATTTTATGTAAGTGCATTACGTATAAGGGGTAAATACTCCTTCGAGTGTCACAGTACTCCTACTTCTCTTCTTTCTTCGTTGGTTTTCAAATCTATTTTTGTTTGCTTGTTACCATGAAGCCTGCAATAAAATCATGTTAATATATATATTATAGGTCATTTGGTATCTTCCGTTGAAGAGTCATATCTTTTTATACTGTATACTATACAAAAATACGCGACGGTTTTGAACGAGGGTATGTAGAGGATTTATTCAGGCCTGTGAGCATTACGAAATGACCTAGGGTGCTAACTAACTAATGTATTATACGTACATGAGATAGGCTTGTAAACTTATTGTTTTAGAACCAAGTTTGTCTGCTAAAAACGGCTATTTTTAATGGATTAGAAACGCTACGTGTTCACGTTCCGTTTTCTTAGGATTCGTCGTATGAATCTGAATGGTGGTGCAGACATCACGATTGAACTGATCGCGCAGATTACCAATGAGTTCCTGTTTCTCCAAGGCGGCAGTAACGGATGGGGAAAACTGTAAAGGTATATGTACTCTGTGTCTCCATTTTCAATAGCCACTAATGAATAAAATCAGGTCTTATATAGATCCTTTTCAAAGGGGTATTTTAATGGTCTGTGAGGCGATACCTGAGGACAAGCTAAGTCCAAAACTATAGAATATGAATAGAATGCCATTGAGTGGGGGTGTTTCACTTGTTCCATCGGTGTAAAATCTACTATCTCTTCAATAGGAGCGACCATATCATCAGCCAAAGACTCTACCTTGATTGCTACTGGGAATTCCGTTTGCTGTTTGTTTGATACCTCCTGGTCACCTTCGTCCGTGATGGCTTGCCTTATTCGAACAATTTGTCCCACCTTTATATTTATATAAATCCTAAAAGGGGATCTGTCGATGACTTAAGCAAGTCCGCCGTCAACAACTACGTACATCATTGAAATGTAGTATATATAGTATATATATTATATATTATATATATATATATATATATATATATATTATATATAAT